ATTGGAGTTGAATATTTGAAGATCTTTCAAGACATTTCAAACTTCTCTAAGTCATTTTGAAGAGCTTCTCCAAGATCTTCATCAACTCCAACCCCTCTCAAGACCCTTTTCAGCTACAACCTCTTCTCCTACCTCCACAATTCAAGTTTTGAAGAGAGAATATATTCTCTCTTGCCCACCTTGTTGGTGGAAGGCTCCCTTGTGGAGTGTGTTTCAGATCTGTGATTTGTTGCAAATCTAGTTTAGATCTTGCCCTAGCATTGAGGTGCTAGGGATTGGGCAACAGATTGTATTTCTTGTAATTTCTCATATTAAGTTATTCTGTTAAGAGATCTCTTTATTGAGATTGTCTTGCCCTCTCACTGCGGTGATTGGGACTTGAACAGATTTCTTAAGAGATTTTAAAGAACATTTAGATCTGTTGAAATATCTTCCTTGTTTTACCATGACTTCAAGTCAAGTTTTGGAGAACTTGGAAAGGGAGGAGCCTAATGTGACTCCTGAGGGAGCCAACCTTGCTGCTAGTAATAACCAACAGCAAGATGAGGCTATGGCTGATATTGAATTGGTGGACCTAAATTTGGAGAATGAGGGCAATGAAGAGCATGGAGAAGCAGAAGGGATTGATGGAGCAGAGGGGAGGATGATGGCATCGAGGCATGGTCGCTCTCCGATGATGTGGCTAAACTCCAGGCACAAGTCTTCGAGCAGCAGCTTACAATCAATCAGCAGAAGGGACACATCAACTCCCTCAATATTGCTTTGGCGACACAAAAGGCCGACACGACTAGGCTGCAAGCCGATCTCAATGGCATACGGAGAGGTACGGGATCACAAGCGTCTGTACATAACCGGGGCAATCAAATCCTGGCTCTGGAGAAAACGTGCGACCAGCTGCAAGCTGCTATTACCCAACTGCAGACTACAACTGCCCAGCTGCAATCTACCATCGCCCCGATGCAACCTGCTATTGCTCACCTGCAGAACCAGTACAGGGATATTCGGAGGGGTCCTATCTATCAACACTCACCCGCTACTGCTGGCCCATCGGCACCCAAATCCAACTCGCCGCCTGCTGCAGCTCCTTCAACTGCAGCACCTCAGGAGCCTGTCCAGCCTATGGCAACGCCTTTTGGCTCGCTCCCCACTGCGCTCCCAAAATTCATCCCATGGCAAGACGGATGTTGAGAACTGGGTGACAACTGTGGATGAAATGCTGACTCTCCACAACATGCGCAACAACGCTCGTGTCACCGCTGTCTCTGGCGCGTTGGGATGAGCATGCTAGTCAAACCATGTTTGCTAGCCGGAAGCAGCTCGAAGCAACTGGAAAAGTTTTTCACTTGGGACGAGATCTGTGCTGCAATGAAAGCGGCTTTCCTTGTCAAGACAACTGACTTGGAGGTGCGTCGTCGCCTTGAAAACATCAAGTGCGGCGATCACTCTGTGCAGAAATATGCACACGAGTTTGAGAGCGTTCTGCAACTGCTGGGCAAGCAACTGTCTGAGAATGAAGTTATGTATATCTTCTTCCAGAACTTGCCCCAGTCCCTGTAGGATAAGCATGTCGCAAATGGCCTCAACAAATGGAGCACCTACAAGGAGCTCAAAGAGGCGGTTCAAGCAACGGACGAGACTGTTCGTATGCTAGCAACGCCTTCCACCAGACCAGCCTGAGTCGAGGACTCAGGCGAAGGGTGATGGTGGCAATGGAGGTGGTGGCCAGTGGAATTCCAAGGGGAAGGGCCAAGGTTACAGAGGCTCTTCCACCAGAATGGTAATCGGCAGCGTCCTCCGGCTAAGAGGGCGAATGATGGCGGTTACAAAGGGCCGCCAAGGGACTTCTCTAATGTCGTCTGCCGAGGGTGTGGCCGCCGTGGTTACATGGAATTTCAGTGCCGCTATAGGAATATCATAAAGCATAGTGGTAAGCCTAAGGGCAACAACAATGGCGGCGAAGGACCTTCTGGTAGTAAGAAGGATTTTCAGAAGTCCAACTAGGGTGTGGGTACTAGTCGGTCAGATAGATCGAGGGGATGAGGCATATGCTTTATGTGACGATGATTTACTAAAGCTAGAGAAGCTTGCTGAATGCAAAATGTCTTGTTTGTTTGCCTCTTCTTTTAATAAAAAATCAATGTTTTGCACCTCGATCGTACCCACATGATGCTATATCCATCGAAGCGTTACGAGATAAATTCTCAGTCGTTTACTGTGGCCTGGAAACATTGCCTTCTGTACTCGATATTGTGAGTCGTTGTACTCAAGAGCACCCCCTGACTGCGGTCGCCGTGGTGACTCGTACAGTAAAGGGCGAAGCGTTCAAATCGCTTCGTGGATGGGTTGTGCTGGCGTCTTGGGACAAGGGACACCATGTGTGGTGGACCAAATCTGAATCCTTTGGACGAGCCCGCCACAATGTCAAGGTGTACTACAAACCCTCGTCGAACATCGTGGCATGCCCCATCCACCCAATGCATCAACAAAATCTACTCCTTTCGGGTCGCGTTAACGGACATAGCGCGAAAATCCTTGTCACACCGCTTGGGGTCCTCGTTGAAGGACCGTCATGTCCCATTCGTCTTGGTGACGATAGTCTTATCCCAAGCAAAGGACGGACAATGATTGACATGGAAATCCAAGGCTATAGCAAAAAGATTCGCACTTACGTTCTCCCCTTGCTTGCGGGTGTCGACGTAGTCTTGGGAATGGATTGGTTACGTGCAAATAAGGTTATTCTGGAAACCAGGATAACACAGTTTCTTTCACCAAGAATGGTGAACCAATCCAGTGGCGGGTGTTTGTTGACACAACCATCCCGGTGGTTCAAATTACGAAAAGTCCAGACGTGTGCTTTGCTCTTGCATGTCAATTCGGACAGCATTACCGCATTGCTAACACACTTTTCGTCATACAGCTCGAGGAAGCTGGAACCCCGACGCCAGACATTGAGGATTTTCCACCTCAGATGAAGGTACTGGCGGATGAATTTAAGGAGGTTTTTGAGTCTATTCCAGATGGCCTCCCTCCTGACCGCGCCGTGGGCCACACCATCCCTGTGGAGCCTGGAAAGCTCCCACCGTTTCGACCTCTGTATCGCCTCAGTCCAGCTGAGTACAAGGAGGCTAAACAACAGATTGAGGAGTACCTCAGGAAGGGATGGATTGAGCCAAGCGCATCACTATATGAAGCACCAATCTTGTTCGTTAACAAGAAGGGTGGTGGCTTACGCATGTGCGTCGACTACCGCGCCTTAAACAACATCACGATCAAGAACAGATATCCTCTTCCAAGGATAGAAGACCTGTTCGATCGACTCCAGGGTGCTCAGTGGTTTAGCGCGTTGGATCTGGCACAAGGGTACCACCAACTGCGCTTCACTGAGGAAGATGTTCCAAAGACGGTGTTCCGTTCGCCGTTTGGCCATTTTCAATGGCGCGTGCTGAGCTTTGGCTTGACCAATGCTCCGGCCTCTTTTCAGAGGGCCATGAACGATGTGTTTCGCGAAGCTATCGGACACTTCGTTCTGGTTTACCTCGACAATATCTTGGTTTATTCCAAGACTGAAGAGGAGCACACTCAACGCCTAAAATGGGTGCTAGGGAAGTTGCGAGAACACAAGTTCTATGCTCGTTTATGGAAATGCCATTTCTACAAACGCGAGCTGGAATACCTCGGTCATCTTGTCGGGAACAACAGACTTAAAGTCGACCCCAAGAAGGTGGTGGCTGTTCAGAATTGGCCCGTCCCACAGGACGTGGGTCAGATCAGGTCCTTCCTAGGCCTGGCCAATTATTTCCGCCGGTTCTTGGAAAATTACTCGACTGTCGTTGCCCCTCTAACAGCACTCACCCGAAAGGGTACTGCATGGGAGTGGACTCGACAATGCCAAGAGGCATTTGACAAAGTCAAAAACAAAGCTGACCAATGCTCCGATTTTGGTATTGCCAGATCCTTCTAAACCCTATGAGGTGGTCACAGACGCCTCGACAGTAGGGATTGGGGCGGTACTCTTGCAGGAGGGCCGTCCTGTGGCATTTGAGAGTAGGAAACTCTCCTCGGCAGAGCAGCGCTATACGACGTCAGAACAAGAGTTGCTGGCGGTCTTGCATGCGCTGCGAACATGGCGATGTTATCTGGAAGGTGTGGAGTTTGTGGTCACGATAGACCACTGTCCGAACACCTATTTCTCTACTCAAGCCACGCTCACTCGGTGCCAAGCCCGCTGGGCAGAACTCCTTAGTGGGTTCACATTCAATATTCGATATCGTGCAGGTTCTACAAACATGGCTGACCCCCTCAGCAGACAACCGATAGGGGCAGCGACTGGGCTTGATGAAACCGAGGATAAGGCAGTGGTTGCTGCTTGCTTCGGTATTCTTGTCGTGGCTCGAGTGAGTGAGGTCACCTTCAGTGGTTTTTCTGAAACGCATCCGCACTGGATACCATATTGACTCCTGGTTCCAGAACCCACAAAATACGAAGGGCCTCAAGTACGAGCATGAGCTCTGGTGGTGAGAGAAAGAGATCGTGGTACCCCACGTGGGTAACCTGCGGAATGATATAATTGAGGAAGTGCATAGCACCAAGTACGGGGGACACATGGGTATCAAGAAAACCCGGTGGGCCTTAAGTGATGTGTACTGGTGGCCTGGATTGGGGACTGAGGTCCAACAATTCGTGTCGCGTTGTGATGCATGCGCACGCAACAAGCCAGACACAAAAAAGCCTGGTGGTTTGCTTCAACCACTGGAGATTCCAGACGAACCTTGGGAGAGTGTCTCACTGGATTTCATCACAGACCTCCCAAAAACACGTGACGGTCATACTGCGATCTTGGTCTTTGTGGATCGATTGACCAAAATGGTGCACTTTGTGGCTACTACAACAGACGTATCTGCGTAAGATACGGCCAAGTTGTTTGTAGCACACGTGTTCCGCTTACACGGGTTACCTCGTGTGCTAGTGTCCAATCGAGATCCGCGCTTTACAAGCCGGTTCTGGCACGAAGTTACACGGACACTCGGAACGAAGCTAAAGATGTCGTCAGCCTTCCATCCCTAAACGGATGGGCAGACAGAGCGGACGAATCGTACGCTTGAGCAGATGCTTCGTTCCTTCATCGGCCCAACTCAGGATGATTGGGATGACTTGTTACCTGTGGTTGAGTTCGCAGTGAACAATTCTGTCCATGAAGGTACCCATGAAAAACCCTTCATTCTGAACAGTGGCCGGCATCCCATGACACCTGCTACGCATGGGATAGGCGCACTGCGAGTCCCTGCCGCGAAAGACTTTGTGGGCAAGCAGCAAGAAGCGCTCAAGTCTGCTCGCTGCTGGCTGCAGCTGTCTCAGCAGCGACAAAAGTCTTATGCCAACATGAAACGCCGGGAAGTCTCTTTTGAGGTTGGAGACAAGGTATTATTGAGCACGAAGAACATTCGTCTCAAAATTCCTGGGGCACGAAAGCTGTTCCCTCGATGGATTGGGCCGTTCGAGGTGATCCAGCGTGTTGGTGTGGTAGCTTACAAGTTGAAGTTACCCGATACATTGCAGATTCACAATGTCTTCTACGTGTCTCTGCTCAATAAGTACATTGCTGAAGGCAAGTACTTACCTCCACCAACGATCGTCCTCGGAGAGGAACTCTTTTATGAGGTCGAGCGTGCGCTCATGCACTGTGATCGACAGCGCGGCCGCAAGACAGTACGCGAGTTCGTTATTAAGTGGAAAGGCTATGGGCCTGAACACAACTCATGGGAGCCAGAGGAACATTTGACCGAAACTGCGGTTCACGGATATCTGGAAGACCTGGCTCAAAGAGCAGCCTCACAACCAGTGGATGGTGTTGACTGTGGTCGTAATGTGATTCGGCGCGCTCGAAGCACCCGTCCCCAGAAGCACTCTACGGCAACGAGGGCGTTGCCACCTAGAGGGGGAGGAGTGTAACGCCTCGCCTCTGCATAGTACACGGGCCTAGAAACGACCGTCCCAACCACCTTTTACAAATTGGCTACCTAGGTAGCGCGAAATGGGAAGGAAGGGTTGGGAGGGGAGGATTGGGATTGGTCGATACTTGGGACCAATCAAATTTTAGTTGTACTAATTGAGTTGGCGAAATTCCCAACACATGTGATGGTTGGATTTGCGACCAATCAGAACCAGGGAGTTGGTTGGCAATGCCAACTCAACTCGAATATTCTTATGCTGTACACTATATGCTAATCTGAATACATTGTTGTAAACCTCTCATTGGTTGGAAATCCAACCCTTTTGCCACATAGGCTAGCTCACCTCCTTGGAGCCATGGAGGAGGTTGAGCAGCTGCTGGGAGTCATTGGAAGGGGTCTGGGCTGAGAAGCTCATTCTCAACTTCCCACTCCAAGAAATCAATCTTGAAATGGGATTTTTCTCTAAGTCATGAGCTCTCCTCACAAGCTTCCCTACACTAGTGGCTCCTAGTGTGATCTCCTAGGGGAAGCCCTACCCAACCAGAGCCTCAAGCACTATTCTTCACGGGCCTTCCTCAAGCTTAAGCTATCTCTTAGAGGAGGTCCCTCATAAATACCACTCTAGGGGATCGTTAGTTGATTTTGTACTCCATTTATATCCTAGGATCTTGGATGTTGGGTTTGGACTTCAACCCTTGTTGCCCATGATATAAGGGCAAGGGTTGTTACACCTTCTCTCCCGCTCCCCTTCTCTCCCGCTCCCCTTCTCTCCCGCTCCCCTTCTCTCCCGCTGCCCTTCTCTCCCCCTCCCCTTCTCTCCTCGCCCCCTTCTCTTTTGCTCCCCTTCTCTGCCTCTCCCCTTATCTCTTAGGCCCCCCTTCTCTCCCATCGCCAAGCCGATCACCGCCGCACATGTCTCTCAGCCGCTCGTAGCCACGCTCAGAGAAATGCCGCTTTCCGCTGCGCTCGCCGCAACGCTGCTCGCCGCCGCGCTCGGCGCAAAGCTGCTCCCCGCCGCGCTCGGCGCGGAGCCGCTTGCCGCCGCGCTCGGCACTGAGACGAGCCATATGCAGCGCACCTACTCTCACTTTCGCCTGCCTTACGCATTTGGCGCAAATAGCCCTTTTCGAGGGGTACGGCTTTCGTGCCTGGTTGCCGCTCGGGAAAATGTGGCGCCATATCTGTACCTATTCTATATTTCCAGTTTGCCTACTTACTCTAGGGCTGGCTGGGGGAGTCGGGCCGCGACACAACCAGCGCAAGCTGCAGCCACGAGTTACGACAAGAGGATGATGCGCATTCTACGCTAGGGTGCTCTGCGTGGAGTTGCGTGCCCTCAGCCCTTTGACCGTCGAGTTGTGAACCTAGGTCCAACTTGAAAATCGAGTTGGACCCACTTGAAACAGGCACAGACGTGCGGGCTGCCCTACCATCACAGGTGAACGCTCCTCGCCTCGAGCGATGCTTTCGCCGCCGCGCTTATCTACGTGGATTCTTTTCCCGTGTTTCTGGTTGGATGCTGCAGTTTTTATTCCCGCGCACCAAACGCTGTCCTGCGCGGATGTTTTCCCTCCTACCCGGGGGTAATAAGGAACAGTGACCCTGAACCCCCTCGCTACAAGGCTTGGTCCCTTGAAAAGTTCCCACACAACCCCCCTTTCAAGTTGGGCCCGCCTTCACTATTCTCCATTCTCGCTTTACATCTGTATGTAACAAGTTTTTGTTTTTGCGACGAATCAAATGCTCCTAGGGTTCTGCCCTCATTTTTCGCTCCCTTATGCTCGCTTCTCACGTTGCGGTTTCAGCCACGCCACCTCGCCATCTAGATTCCTACCCAAGGCAAGTGGTTCTAAGGGTTTATTTTTCTCTTTTCAAAATCGTTTTTCCGTCTCTTCTAGTAAGGGGTTTCAATATCGGGATTGACGGAGGGGAATGGCGGCGGGATTGACGGGGGGAATGGTGACAGGATTGGCGACGGAATTGACGGGGGATTGGCGAGGGCGGCATTGACGGCGGGATTGACGGGGGGGGGCGACGGGGTTGATTTGGGGATTGGCGGGGACACTCTCTCGCTCTCTCATTACCTCTTTCTCTTTGCCCCCCCCCCTCCCCCCCACCCCCCCCCTCTCTCTCTCAAGCGGTCCGTTTATTTCTTGGAATCCTAGGTACAGGCTAGGCAGGCGGAAGGCAACAAGGCAAAGGTACGTGCATGTTGGAGGTGCCCGAAACTACTCAAGCTCCCCTAGGGGCTCTGCTACAGCAAAGCAGTCCCCTAGAGCCATGTTGGCGTCGGGGGTGCCCACGGGGGTGTGGGGGGCAGGGAAGGCTTCGCTAACTTTGCCCAGGTAAGCCAAGGCCTGCGCCCACTGGAGCGTCACAGACCAGCACTAGCGGAACTGGTGGAACAATTTTGCTGCTTGGTAGGAGCTGGGGTCCGCATTGAAGAGCCTCCTGGCCCCTGTGTCTGCCAACAGTTTCAGGAAGGTAGGGACTTTGGCGCAGGGGCAGCCGTATGTCTCGACCGCCAGTGGGAAGAAACCGACGTAGGGAGCCCGGTTGCGGTAGTGGTATATCTTCTTGTCAGCTTGCTCCCAGGCCATGTATCCTCGTCCCTTCCGTGCATCCGGGTCCCGGCTGCTTATACCGTCACAGACCCAGACGGCGCCAGAGCTGCGGTCGCGAAGTGCGAGGTCTGCTTTGTGGCCGTCTACAGGGCTGTAGATGGTTGTCTCCTTAGTGACGATGAAGTTCGCATCCCGGGCCATCCGGATGCTCTCATCTCGCATGGCGTCATGGGTGTCTGTCCGCCCGTGCCTGGTGCCGCACCGAAGGAAGTGGTTGGGCAGCCGTGTGTCAAGGATTTCGTATTCCTTGGCGCAGTTGCAGGTGCGAGGAGCTGGGAGCGGGAGGCCGAGGCGGAAGGCCAGGGCAAAGGTGAAGTGTGGGGCTTCAAGGCGGAGGGAGGGGAAGATTGGAATGGCATGGAGCCAATCTCCTGCCCCATATCCGGCCACGGAGAAGAGGCGTTGCGCGTGGCTGGAGTGGGGGTTTGGGTCCATTGCCCACCAAGCCGCCACTTGGTCAGCGTATCTCACAGCTTGGACCTCGAGAGACAGGCGGTGTTGGAGTGGGGAGCCCAAGGGTTCTCTGCGCTCAGACTGTAGAAGCTCCAAGGCCCTTGGGGGCATCGCCGATTCGCATCTCGCCAGCCAGGTGTGCAGGTGGGTGGGGCTGGTGAAGGGTGGTGTGAGGTGACGTACAGACTCGGCTAGGGGCCCTCTGGACGCTGCTGGGGGGGCAGTTAGGAGGCCCTGAGCTTGGGTGACGCTGGTGAGAAAGGCCGGATGCCCTTCAATTGCTGGGTCGGTCAGGCCCAGCCCTTCGAGAGAGGGAGGGAGTGACGCCTGGGCCCAGGTACGCGCTCGCTCCAGCTCGCCTCGTGGTGGCTGGAGTTTGCAAGCGCTGAGTAGGGCGTGAAAGAGCTCCCTGCCCCACTTGGACCAGGCCTCCAGGGGCAGGAAATCAAGGGGGGTGGTGCGGGTTAAATACGAAAAACACCTGGACACACAACGTGTGAGGAGGAGGGAGGAGGACTGTGGGTCCATCGTGGACAGTGTGGAGAGGGGTTCGGCAAGCGCGGCAAGCTGAGTGCGGAGGAAATCGGCTGTGCCTTCTGGAGTGCCTATAAAACTTCCTAGCACACGGACCCCTTCGTTGTTGAAGGGTATGTCCGGCCGAAGGCAGTCAGTCGCAAGGCGCTCGGTGGACCATGCTGCGCATTTCGCGGGGTTGTGGGAGAGGCCGATGCGTTCCATGGCGGCGGTGAATTCTAGGAACGCCGAGGTGCAGGCATCCGGATCGCCCACGAAAGTCACGTCGTCTGCGTAGGCGAGGCAGAGGACCCCTGGGTGGGCTGTCGCGGTGGCCTGGAGCGCAGGGTGGATGGCAGCCACAAAGAGGAGGGGGCCCATAGGGTCCCCCTGGCAAACTCCCCGCGCGCTCAGTAGGGGTGGGCTACCGAACTGCGCGTCAAGGTAAAGCAGTGACGGTGGCCCATACGAGAACTGTATGAATGGTAGAAGGGGGCGCAGTGGCGAGTGGGTGATGGCGTAGATGATTGCCCCGCGGTCGACGTTGTTGAACGCGTTTGAGAGGTCGACTTGCAGGATTAGCTAACCAGGGCGCGCGGAGGTGAAGCCCCTGGTGGCATGGATGATAATTTCTCCTCCGCTCTTGATTGCTACCCTGAATTGGTGTGGGAGGAAATCGTCTTGCGCCGGCTGTGTTGAGGAAACGAGTGCGGATTTAGCCGCTAGATGATGCAGACACTCGCCGATAGCGATGGGGCGAGTGCCTCCATCTGGTTTGGTAAGTGCCAGGAGGCGTGAGGAGGTCAAGAGCTGGCTGACTTCGAGCGGAAGGTTACCCGTGAGTAGGCGCTGTACGAGCTCGTGAAGGTGCTTGGAGACTAAGGGGTTGGTTAGCGAGGCATCGCGAAGGTGCTCAAAGGTCATTCCTGAAGGCCCCGCTCCAACCCCGTTTTCGCAGCGAGAGAGGAGCTTCGCGAAATCAGCGAAGTCGATTGTCGTCGGTCTGTAGTCCTCGCTCAGCTGCGGCCAGCTAAGGTCTTCGGTGAGTGGGGGGGGTGTTTTGACTTCAGCGCATCCAGGACAGCAGGGGTGGAATTGCTGACTGGGGTTGAAGTCAACGCGAGCAGTGCCCGTCGTAGGCTACCGCGTCGCACTAGCCCTTCAGCTCTGGATATATTTTTCCAAGGGTGTCAGATACGTGTCGGGGTGGGGGTGGCAGGGTGACAGCTGATGTGGCTGCTTGGTACAGTGCGTCCCATTGGCCCGCGAGAAATTGCGGAGGCGTTTTTCTGCCGCGGGCCAATCAGGACGTCGAGGTGAAGGTTGGCGAAGGGTGAGGCGCGGGAGGTAGAGTAACAAGATCCAACCCTCAGTGAAGGTTGGATGTTTGGCGAGGAAAAGGAGGGGTGCCAGTAAGGCGAGCGCGAAAAGTTGACGAATTTGGAAGGGTAACCGGCGGGAGAGCGAGGGCTGGCGGCTGTCGCAGAGTACTGCAATTTCCCAGTTGGCGATCTCGACGAATCGGGAAGCGTCGTTCGCCAGCTCTCCGGGGGACAGCTGTGGAGCTGTCCGGGGATGGGTGTCCAGCGGTACCCGTGCATTACGCGTGCCGCTGGACCGTCGTCCCCCAGATCTGGGGGTTGTGCCAGCTGCTCTCCCTCCAGAGCGCCTGTTTGTCTCCACGCCATCCTCCTCACGAGATGCGTCTGTCGTAGACTCCCCCTGCTCCCCAGGTACATAAGTTCCGTCGGCCCGTTCCTCCTCACCAGTGGTTCCTTGTAGTTCTAAAACTCTTAAAGCCCTGTTCGCAGCCTGCTGGAATACGTTCAGCGGGCCTTCGTCGGACGACAAATCGCCTCGCCTAGCTGGCCCGCGACCGCGACCCCTTGCTGCCCGGTCATCGTGTCTCCTGCGTCCTCCTCCTCGATTTCCTCTCAGGGCTACCCCATTCACAGTCCGTCGATCGTGCCGGGTCCTGGGAGGAGCGGAGAGCGGCACGTCGTCTCCTGATGGACTGGCCATCGAGGTTCGAGCTGGGCCGGCTCGTTCGTGAGCGCTCTGCCGATTTGGAGAGCTGTGGGGAGAGTGCGCCCCCCCAAGGTCGGGCGAGTCGCGATTGGGAGCGTGGGCTCCCTGTCCTCTCGTCTGTTTGCCAGCAGACCCCCGAGCGGATGCGTGGACAATTGCAGAGTCAGCCGTCCGCTCCGTAGGGGCGCGAGGAGAAAACTCCCGAGCGCGCCCTGGAGGCCGGTCGTGGACCCGGGATGCACGGCGAGGCGCGTCAGTTGCCTCTTCGGCCACATCCTCCTCGCCGCGGGACGCCCCAGCGCCGCCCGCCGGCGCAGCCGGCGCAGCAGCACCGGACTCCACAGGCGCAGCGCGGGCGTTCAGGCCAGCGCCTCGGCTGGAGGGCCGGCAGGGGGAGTAACCGCGGGTCGGCTGCGGAGAGACGACTGGGGCGGGCTGCTGCAACACTCGAGGGCTTGGTCCGTGCTGTCGCCCAGACCCAGCAGCCACAGCCGCTCCCAGATGGCCAGCCACTTCCACCGTCTCTTCCGTCCGTACCTCCACCTCCGATCTTCCCCTTTGCCCACCCGCTCGATCCGCACGCGCTGAACGTGCGATCTGCAAAGACTCTGCCGCGCTGGCAGCCGATGCCCCTGGTGGCATCGGTGGTAGGTTGGCCCAACGGCCGGCCGCCATTGGTGGTGCCAGCGTCGTTCGGCGATCTTGCGGCGACGCCTTTTGTCCCCCCTCGTCGCGCGCTGGGGTTGCCGACTGGAGTTGAGGGGGGGGCAGATGCAGCGGAGATGGGGGGTGCGGAGTCCACCGGTGAGGACTCGCCCCCTGGGGACCAAGGACGTCATCGTTCGGCTGGGCTGCGGATGCCCTAGAGAGCGCAGCTGGAGCACCTGCATGGGAGGGAGCGCCTGGCGGAGACTGTGATCCCAGTCGCCGCGCTTCGTCGGCTCTGGCACGCGCAGCGGGCGATGGGGTATGTTGTGGAGATGCTGACGGACTCGCACTCTGTTCTACGGAACACAGCAAGCCCCACGATCCTCTCCACCGCTGCGCGATGGCTGCGGCTGATCCGGCAGTCGTGTCAACGCGAGTGCTGCCTGCGCCCGCCCCGGGAACAGTGTTGGACCCGTGCCTGCTCGCCGTGATGCGGGCAGTATCGGCGAGCATAGACTCGGCTGCAGCTGTAGACATCGTTGGCGGCGCCGTGTCAGTGCTGATGCTCCTGGTGGGCTATATGACGGCCTTGCTGGAGGAAGCTGGAGCGGAGCAAGTCGCGTGACGGGCTCCCGCCAAGTGTAGGTCCGCGTTGGTGAAGTGCGCGCAAGCGTGAGCGCTCTGGTAAGCTCGGTGAGGCTTTCCATGCCTCGTTAGGAGTGAGGCTGTGGAGCACCACTGTAGTCCGCTAGGGAGATTGTGTAGCTTGTATTGTTGAAGTTGCAAATTTGGTGTTGCTGTTGCCTTGCCGTCCCCTAACGCGCGGCCGCAGGCCACGCCGCGAGCGTCGGCGGCTGACGGCTGCCGGCGCGAGCCGCCACCAAGGGAAGGAGAATCTGAATAACAGAAAACTACCTAGGAGAATGAGCTAGGGAGAGCGGCTTAAAAGGCTGGAGGGAGACTCAGGGTCTCTCTCTCTCTCTCTCTCTCTCTCTCTCTCTCTCTCTCTCTCTCTCTCTCTCTCTCTCTCTCTCTCTCTCCTCCTCTCCCTCTCTCTCTCTCCCCTCTCCTCTCTCCTCTCTCTCGTCTCTCTCTCTCTCTCTCTCTCTCTCTCTCTTTCTCTCTCTT